GCGGGATTACAGGCTGAGCCACTGAGCCTGGCTAATTTTTTTTTTTTGAGCCAGAGTCTCACTCTGTCGCCCATGCTGGACTGTAGTAGCATGCTCATGGCCACTACAGCCTTGATCTGCTGGGTTCAGGCAATCCTTTCACTTCAGCCTTCTAAGTAGCTGGAACTATAGGCGTGTGCCACCATGCCTGGCTAATTTTTTATTTATGTAGAGGTGAGGTCTCACCATGTTGTTCCGACTGGTCTCTAACCCCTGGGCTCATGCAATCCTCTCCCCTCTGCCTCGCAACGTGCAGGAATTTACAGGCATAGCCGCCGTACCTGACCTTGATAAAGTGGATTTGACAGGAATTCTGGTAGCACTTAGCTGGCGTGAAGGGTATTATTAATACAAAGACTTCATGATTCATTTAGTTGACTTCAAAAGTGCCTTATCTCTGAGACTTGGTGGTTCCATGAGCTGACCTGGAGACATGGCATTTTCGTTTTAAGCTTCTTGCTGTGCTTCCTTTTCAGGAAACTCGAAGGAAGGAAGGCATTGTGAAGCTGAAGCCTCACGAGGAGCCACTCCGTTCCGAGATTCTCAGTGGAAAGTTCACCATCTTGGTGAGTCTTTTGGGACCATCTTGTGGGGCCACGTTCCTTCCTTTTGTGGCTGTTGTCTTGTTTGGCCTTTATTCCTAGATACCTTGTCCTGAGTCTGGTGAGACTGCAGTCAGGGGTAGATGTGAAGCAGCCATGCAGTTTTGCGCAAATTATTTTATTTTTAAGTAAAAAAAAAATTTTTGAGTCGGGATCTTACTCTGTCACCCAGCTGGAGTACGATGGCATGAACATGGCTACCACAGCCTTGGTCTTCTGAGCTCAGGTGATCCTCCCACCTCAGCCTTCCAAATAGTTGGAACTACAGTAGCTGAGACTACAGGCGTGTGCCACCCTGCCTGGCTAATTTTTTGATTTTTTTTTTTTAATAGAGACGCGGTCTCACTGTGTTTCTTAGACTGGTCTCAAACTCCTGGGCTCAAGCAGTTTCCTGCCTTGGCCTCCCAAAGTGCTGGAATTACAAGCATGAGCCACTGTGCCTAGCCTCGTTTAGTAATAATTCAGTTACTAATGATTACTAATAATTAGAGCTACCACTAATAATTGAGTAATTGAGTTATGGAGACTCAGTTGTTCAACAGACTTAGCAGTTTCTTCCTTGGTCCATGAAGGTTAGTGAGGATCTTTGGGATAGGTATACAGTGTATCAGATGTCCATCCTTCCTTGTTTGATGTAAGCTTTCCATTATGAGAGACCTCAGCCTTTCACGTAAGTATACTGGTGGGCCTTTTAAGGCTAGCATGGAAACCCTTGTCCTGTTCTGTGGTTCTTTCTGCCACTTGATGCTTTTGCCATCCTGTCTGGGAAATTAGCTAGGAAGCCAGTACAGACCCATCCTTTGATCTGTCTGCAGTTGAAGAGCAAAGAGAATATGGTTCTCTCTTCCTCCCTCCCTCCCTCCCTTCCTTCCTTCTTTGAATTGGATTTTCACTCTGTCATCCGGGCTGGAGACCACTGGCATGATCACCACAACCTCGACCTCGACCTCCTGGGCTCAGGTGATCCTTCTGCCTCAGCCTCCAGAGTAGCTGGGGCTACAGGCACTTGCCACCATGCCTGGCTAATTTTTTTTTTTTTTTTTTTTGTGGAGACTGGGTTTCACTACCTTGTCCAAGGTGGTTTCAAACGCCTGTGCTCACATGAACCTCTTGCCTCAGCCTCCTGAAGTGCTGGTATATGAGCCACCGTACCCAGCCTGGTAGTTTTCTTACCACAAGAATATGGTCCAGGGGGTGCTGAGGGAATCAGGCAAGGGATGATACTGACATTCTTCCGTCTCGGGAGCAGTTGGGGAAGCCAGGGGAGTGTTGCCAACATCTGTTCTCTTCATGTGTCAAACCTCAATCCAGGATACAAGCTTTAGTGATTGTTGTAATTTTCTGTTTTATTTCTTAATGCTTCTTGTTTTATTTGCTCCAGAATGTTCGGGACCCCACAGGAGCCTCCATTGCTCTCTTCACTGCCAGGCTACATCATCCCCACAAGTCAGTCCAGCACGTGGTCCTTCAGGCTCTGTTTTACTTGCTAGACAGAGCTGTGGACAGGTAAGACCTGAAGTGATCTTTCAGGTGGTCTGCAGTCAGATATGAAAGTGACAACTTTTTTTTTTTTGAATCACAGTCTCACTTTGTTGTCTAGGCTAGAGTGCAGTGGCACCCTCATGGTCGCCACAGCCTCTGTGTGCTGGGCTCAGGCAATCCTTCTACATCAGCCTTCCAAGTAACTGGAACTACAGGCATGCACCACCACGCCCGGCTAATTTTTTTGATTTATTGTAGAGACAAGGTCTCGGCCAAGTTGCCCAGGCTAGTTTCGAATCCCTGAGCTCAGTCAGTCCTCTTGCCTTCACCTCCCAAGGTGCTAGGATTATAGGTGTGAGCCACCACGCCTGGCTAATGACAGCTTTTGACTTGATTAAATCCAGCAGTGTATTCCTCATCCACCTGGGATGTGCCCTGGGCAGTGCTGTGAATAGAAAGCAGTTCATGTCTGTAAGGGTTTGGCGTGTTTCTGGGTACTATCAAGAGGGTGGGTGTTCTGTTTGTTTACCAACTTGGCTCTGCATTAGGGTAACAGAAGCTGAGCGAGTCAGTAGTTAGCAGTCCCAGGATCTAGAGAATTACTGATTGGACATCAGTGAGGAGCAGATGAGCTATGTGGATCTTTCTGCTCATTTCAAAACCCTCTAGGGCCTCTATGTCTTTGTAAAACAGGAAGAATGCCATTTAGCTCAGAATGTGAAAAGTATAAAGTTAAGCAAAATCATCCTTATAATAAAAACAGGTGCATAAGCATAAAGAAGCAGCTCAGGCCCTCTCTCCCTTCCCTCAGAGGTAAATGGCGGTGTTAGAGTTTTTCTGACAATTAAAAAGAAGCCCTAGGAAGTTATTTGACAGCCATCACCTGTTGGTCCAGCTGGGTCTAAGATCTCCTGGTTTTTTGCCCTTGGTCAGATTTACCTGTACCCTGCTGTGCTGTCTTTCTGCCTTGCTTCCTTTATCCCTGGTGTTTGCCACTTAGTTTGTTACTGCTCTTGGCATCTTTGGCTGATCCTCTGGGTTAGAATTGCTCTGTCGAGATAGTGAGAGACAACTGTGTGCCATTTTGTCATAACTGTGTGCCACTTTGTCATATTGTGGGCTCATAGGATGGGCATAGTCAAGGGATTGTCTGAGGTGGGAGTCTCTGTCTAGCTCACTTATTACTGCCTTGTTTATCTCACCACCATATTACTTAGCTTCTGCTGCTGATGCTCGTGCGAGACATATCCCAACCACACACACAGCATTATTCTGAAATGGAGAAGTTGCCAGGGAGTAGAGACCAGGATTCTCAGTGGCCCTGTATTTCCCAAGCAGAAGTGTAGGTTTTCTCAGCTTTTCTCTCTTGTGACTGGCCTTCAGGCATAATTTCCAGAATCTGGGTCTCTCTGCAATGCTTCTATAGCTAAGGAGAATGAATGGATGGCTCTTTTACCAGAAAATCCACTGAACCCAAGTGCTTCTATAGGTGTAGCAGGCTGTGTGGACGTGACCAGGTTTTGATTTTTCCAGTGTGAGTAGTGGATCCCACAGGAGACCCACAGGTAAACATAATTAAAGTTTGTTAGTGGCTGGGCTCAGTGGCTCACCCTGTAATCCCAGCGCTTTGGGAGGCCAAGGTGAGTGGATTGCCTGAGCCCATGGGTTCGAGACCCGCCTAGGCAACTTGGCAAGAACTCATCTCTACAATAAATCAAAAAAACAAAAATTAGCCGGGTGTGGTAGCGCGCCCCTGTAGTTTCAGCTACTTGGAAGGCTGAGGCGGAAGGATCACCAGAGCCCAGCAGGTCAAGGCTGCAGTGGCCGGGAGTGGTCACTGCACTCCAGTCTGGGTGACAGAGTGAGACTCCAACTCAAAAAACAAACCAAATAAAACAAAAGACCCTCAGTGTCTCCTCATAATCCAGAGGGGGTATATAAGCTAAGTAAATTTGAGTGTTTTCTCTAAGCAAAATATTCTCAGTGAGTAGAAAATCTTTTTTCCTGTATTGTTTTTAGCCAGAACGGTCTTCTCTCTCCCTTCCTCTTGACTAAATCCAAAACCCAAGTTTTAAGACTGGCTCCCTCACCACTCCAACATGTCACAAATAAAATTCTTTATACTCTGGCCTTAATAGCAGTAATTACCAATACCAATAATCATTATGTACTTAACTATATGACCTTATGATGCGATGCATTTAGCTGCCACTAGGGTCAAGAAGCTTCTTTTTTTTTTTTTTGATTTGGAGTTTCACTCTGTCGCCCAGGCTGAAGTGCAGTGGCATGCTCACGGTTACCCCAGTGTCGACCTGCTGGACTCCAGCGATCCTTTCACCCCAGCCTTCCAAGTAGCTGGTACTACAGGTGCACGCTACCACGCCTGTCTAATGTTTTATTTATAGTAGAGATGAGGTCTTACCAAGTTGCGGGGGCTGGTCTCGAACCTGTGGACTCAGGCAATCCACTTGCCTTGTCCTTCCAAAGTACTGGGATTGTAGGCTGAGCCACCAAACCCAGCCAAGGATCTTCTTTTTTTTTTTTTTTTTTTTTTGAGTT